CTACTTAAAGTGACATATACTTGTATAATTCATTCCTTTTACACGCGATGCTTCTGTGTGAAAGCAAATTTGCAGAAGTTGACGTTGACAAGTCTGACAGACATATTGTTATATTGTAATGAAAAATGTTTAGGAATATCATCGGTGTTAAAGTACCATCACTAATAGAAGATAAATTTTATACGTGCGTCTCATACTGCAGAATCCACTTTTGTTAAGTGGGTGGTACTAAGTACTACCGATGCCTATAATATTACTCTATTGTTATATATAGCAAAAAAACATTCCTATAAAGTACCGGTTGCTAAGTATCATCCATTAATAAAAGGTGACCCACAAATAGATATTTTTTATTAATGATGATACTTAACATCGATATTGCGTAGCATTTTTCTATGGCAAAGTAAGTAACATCACAATTTTTTATTTTTTATTTTTTATTTTTTTTTTGAAAATGAGATAAGGTAACATCACTTTAGTAAATGGTCCATATGTATCGTTAAGTAAAAGTCCCTTAAAAAGGAAGGCAATTTGCCGGCTTTAAATTGCCCATTGAGATCGCCAACTCATAACATAATTTATATACTTAAAAAACAGAATTATGTGCATTAATTTATGAGAACTTCTAAAGTGCCTTAATTTTATAAGAAGAAATAATTAAATGGAGGCTTTGAAAGTTCTTATAGAATAAAGCACATAATATGTTTTTCATTAATACCCGAGATAATCGTTTTCAATAGTGTTTGATTCAAGATATATATATATATATATATATATATGTGTGTGTGTGTGTGTGTGTGTGTGTGTGTGTAATATATATTTGGAAATGATTTTTATGATTTGAAATCAGGCTCATTTTTTAATTAAGATAAACGAAAATGATGTAAATTCGTTTTCTATTTCATTTTCATTTTTAAAGCTTATATATACTCAATAAAAACGATCTATTTAAAAAAAAAAAACCAAATAAGATTTCAAGTGAAATTTGCAGCTCGCTTCTCTATAAATTTTGTTAAATATTAATACACATGCTGTCACCTAGAATATGGGAATGGCTCTCTTCTCCACACGGTGTTTCTAATCTCGCTGTAGTTGTAGAGTTCATTTGAATGATTCATGTATTGACCAAATTGAATGATTCATGTATTGACCAAATTGGACTTCAGGTATGGTACGTGGACTCAAGCCACACTTCGGGGACTTCTATATGGGTCGTGGTTTGACAGGTCAAGGAATATGACCGGGCCCATTTTATCCGGCTTAATTAGATCATTGGTCCACTTGGGTTGGTCTTAGGTCTATGAGGGAACTAGGATAACGTGGGTTATAGAGGAAACTAGGCGATCGTAAAACCAATTATCTAAGCTTATAGTTGTTGTTCGTGCAGTTTCAGGCCTACATGAATGCTGTGCACTAGGATAATCCTTTAGCCCAGCATATCCTTTCCCTCCCCGTTTCCTTCTCTTTTTTTTTTTCTAAAAAAAAGAGATAATATTAATAAAGTCTCTATTCCTTAAAAAACTATGAGGAGCCAGAATATACACAAATAAGATAAGGCAACCTTTTGACCGTGTGGCTGCCGCCCTTTGATCTCACCCAAAACGGCCACGAGACTCCATTTGGTTGCCCAATAACCTACTTGTTCATCTTTTTGGTAAGCCTTCCTCTGTAATTGACAAAAGCTATCGTTTAAGCACACTGGAAATGCCTTACCGATGAAGACTTTCAGGGGGGATTTCAGCCAAAGTTCAAAACGGTTGGAGGGAAAACTTTCCTCCCCTTACCATGTTCCTTGTCTATAAATACTGTTGTCTGAACCTCTCAAGGGACAGCACGGAGAAAAGAGGGAAGAAACATAGGTCGAAATCCCCTGTTCTGGCTAATTTCTCTGGATTTTTGCGTTTTCTATCAAAACGACCGACGGGGAATTTCATTCTCCATAACTTCTAGCGGAGTCCCTCTAGAACAAGTTTCTAGCCGTTCTCCCCCTTGGAAGTGGTAACTAAAGCTCCCCGAAGTATCGAAATCCCTTAGCCATGGCCTAACAGCCCCTAAGACTGAGTTTTATTCCCTTCACACGCTACGTCCGTTGGAATCATGGTATTCACAAGCATAGAGATTCGACCCCATTACCCACTTAGGAACCTCCTCCATGCTCATTGGAAGCTCCCCATCAGAAACTCTTCACTATCTCGGAGCTGAAGCCGCAACGGGTGTTGCCCTCGGATACCGTCATCCCCGGGGACATCTGGGTTTTGCCTACCTCAGCCGGGGCCAACATCATCCTCTCGGCCATTATCGACACCAGGAAGTTCCCTCAATAGCTCTTCGACCACGTCATATCGGCAAGAGCACAATCATCGCGAACCAGAAGGGGCCACTAGTCCCCCCACCTTCCACGTCGATAGGCCCTCACCAAAAGAGTCCTAACAATGGGGACTCTTTTGAAATATATATTTCAATGGGAACATGAGGATGAAAAAACAATTTAACAAAAGTGCATCAAAAAATGACTACACTATGGAGAATCTTTTTTTCAAAAATGAAAATAAGGAAATAAGTAAGAATGTATATCAGGAAAAAATGATAAGATTAAATGAGGGTGAGAGAAAAAGCAAAAATAAGGGACTAAGGAAGAAAACAAAAAAAAGGAAAGGATGATCCAAAAAAGCAAAAGGAAAAAAAGTGAAAGAATAAAAGTAAAAAAAGAAAATGTATAGTTGTTAAAAAATGATAAGATTAAATTAAAAGTGAGAGGAAAAATAAAAATGAGGGACCAAAAAGCGAATAAAAAAGGAAAGAGGACCAAAAAAACAAAAGGAAGAAAAGTTAAAAAAAAAAGAGGAACTAAAATGATAAGATTAAATAAAGGTGGGAGTGAAACAAATATATATATATATATATATTTGTTTGAGTCATGATATATATTTATATATATATATATATGTGTGTGTGTGTGTGTAATACATATTTGGAAATGAATTTTATGGTTTGAAATCAGGCTCATTTTTCTATTAAGATAAACGAAAATGATGTAAATTCGTTTTCTATTTCATTTTCATTTTTTAAAGCTTATATATACTTAATAAAAACGATCTATTTAAAATAAAAACCAAATAAGATTTCAACGTTGTTCTAAAAAAATTATAATAATTTTCTTTGGAAGTTTTTCCAGTAGGTCTCTCTACCAGAAGGATTAATTTCTGATCGTTGGATCTGGTTAAAATCACATCAAATTTTAAAAGTGTGCAGAATAAACAATTACTAATACAAATATAATAACTAAAAAATAAATAAGTAGCGGTAATTCGAATCATGGTTCGTGGCTCGTTACAGTATTTTTTCTCATAAAAAACACACGTAAAATGAGAATGATTCTGAATCATGATTCTGAATTCATGAACCAAACGTCTCCTACATCTCATGAAACACTGGTATTTTTTTTGTGCTTTTACCGGCCATTTTTTGGATCCGTGCCATTGATCATGCAAGTGAAATTGCAGCTCGCTTCTCTATAAATTTTGTTAGAATATGGGAATGGTTCTCTTCTCCACATGGTGTTTCTAATCTCGCTGTAGTTGTAGAGAGTACATTTGAATGATTCATGTATTGACCAAATTGGAACTTTCTCTAGAATTTCGATCTGAATACTAGTTTTACAAGGGCATGTGCACCCGCAACAAAAGAAACCCGTCAAATATAGGGTTGAGTAAAATATTATAATCTGCATCTCTTAATTATAGTTTGTTTAGTAATGTTATACATTAAATAGTAATATTGTGGTTATTATATATAACAATCTACCTAGCTACTGATTTTTGTCTTTAGTTTTTTTCCTTTGAACAAACTGAAAAATTACAAGAGTTTCAATATGATCAATAAAACCGGCTAATAGGCTCGAATTCTTCATTATCGGGGGGAAAAAAAAACAGATGAAGGATATATAATATTTACGCAACTTATAACTATAAGAAATTAATTCAATACAATTTATGAGAGCCTTACGTGATTGGTAATCATGTTTCAAGATTTTTTTTTTTTGTTTTTAAAGAAAAAATACATAAGTTAATAACTTAAATATATATTATGCCTGCTAACGCTTTCTAAAAGCTGACCCTTAAGTTGTCATAAACGAAAGAAAAGAAAACTAAAAGTATTATTAATAAACTCTAGATCGTACTACATGCATGTTAATGAAATTTAATTAGTCAAACAGTATTATATATAAATGTTATCTATCTTAGTTTGCACAGAATTCCCAAACTTCTTCCATGCGTTAGATGCGTGTATATATTACAAGGAGGAATGGATCTTCAGTTATATATAATTAAACAAAGGGAAAAAGGTAGATAAAAAATAAATAAAAGCAGCAGCCGAGAAATGCGTGAGCATAGCACAGCCCCCATGAGCTGCTCTGAGAAGCTGTCGGCACCAACCAATGCATCAAACACAACTTAGCTAACTAGATCAGTCAGAAACCAATAAACTAATAATATTATTTACAATTTCTAACAAAGCAATAATATTATTTATTTATAATTTATAACAAAAATATTAATAGAGAACAAACAAAAAAAAAAGTCAAATAGGACCAATGAGAATAGGCACGCTTTGCAACACCGACGTTGTCCCCAATAATAGTTGATCAAGTAGCTAGACTCAATAAATTTGTAACATTTATTGCCTTATCAAAGTCCTCGTCTCCAATTGATCTTAGCAACATAGCCAGCGGCTTCTTCTTCTTCCAAAACCTTGGAAAAGTTCCTTTATTATTAATTTCACTCACATCTTTCTCTCTTAATTTCCGTGTGTTGACTTTATCGATTAGAACCCAACTTGCCCTTTTGCCTCTTAATTTTCTTCCCCTCCATAATAAAAAGGCCATAAAAAGCAATACCACACAAACCCCATTTCTCAACGCTTTGACAATTTAATCTAATTTGTCGTTCTACTACTCCAAACACCAACTTTCCTTTAGGCACATTCAAATATATATATTTTTTCCCTTTTACCTTCTTCTTCATCTTGAATACAAACGAGTTCAAGTTCTCTAATGGAGGAAATTGACGTTCCCTACCTTTTTCTCTGCCCCATTTCATTGCAACTCATGAGAGATCCCGTCACGGTCTCAACCGGGATCACATACGACAGGGAGAACATCGAGAACTGGCTATTCTCATGCAAAAACGACACTTGCCCCGTCACCAAGCAGCCACTGAACGACACCGATCTGATGCTCACTCCCAACCACACTCTCCGGCGCCTTATCCAGGTCTGGTGCACCCTCCACGCCTCCAGCGGCATCGAGCGGATTCCGACGCCGAAGCCGCCGGTCGACGAGTCCCAGATCGTCAAGCTCCTCAACGAGGCCAAGAACGTCCCGGGCTCGCAGATCAAATGCCTCCAAAGGCTCAAATCCATCGCCTCCAAAGGAGAAAGGAATAAAAAGTATTTAGAGTCCGCGGGGGCAATCGAATACTTGGCTTCGATAGTGAAGAAAAACGGCTCGACGACGGTAATATTGGATACAGCGGTCGAGATTCTTTTCCATCTTAAAAGCTCGGAAACGCATTTGAAGAATCTAGTAACCAACGAGAGCGAGATTATAGATTCGTTGGTTATGGTGTTGAGAACCTGTGGGAATTACCAGTCAAGAGCTTACGCGACAGTTGTAATGAAATCCATTCTGGATTTGGCGGATCCGGTCCAACTGATAACAGTCAAAACGGAATTGTTCGTTGAGGTTGTTAATGTTTTACGTGATCAGATATCACAACAGGCGTCCAAGGCCGCTCTGAAGCTCCTGTTGGAGGTTTGTCCGTGGGGACGGAACCGGATCAAGGCCGTCCAAGGCGGCGCGGTATCGGTTCTGATCGAGCTTCTGCTCGGCACATCGGAGAAGCGGTTCTGCGAGCTGGCACTGGTTGTCCTCGACCAGCTCTGCGGATGCGCCGAGGGGCGGGCGGAGCTTCTGAAGCATGGAGCGGGGATCGCCGTCGTGTCGAAGAAAATCCTTAGAGTTTCGCACGTTGCGAGCGAACGGGCGGTGAGGATATTGTCGTCGGTTTGTAGGTTTTCGGCGACTCCTAGGGTTGTCCATGAGATGTTGAGTGTTGGAGTTGTGGCAAAGCTGTGTTTGGTTCTTCAAGTTAATAGCGGTTTGAAGGCAAAGGAGAGGGCTAAAGAGATCCTCAAGTTGCACTCTAGGGTTTGGAAGAGTTCTAATTGTATTCCTGTCCATTTGTTGTCATCTTATCCATCTTCTTGATCTTTTGACCTATTTTTGTGTACATAATTCGTTGTTGTTCAACAATTGCAAGAAAAAAATGCAGTTTAATTTGTTTCCAAATATGGAATTGTGTTTGGAAGCAGACTTTCAAGGATAGAAAGTGACATATATTATTGTTGATGCCATTTTTGTTTTAGAGTGAACTTTTTAATTCTACTCGCGAATCTTGTTCCCTTTTCTCTCTTTAATTATCCTAATATTTTTCTCTTTTTTTTTTTCGTATTTGTCAGCAGGGCAAAACATTAACTATATGAAAATCTCCCCTCAATTTTACTTGTGTTTCACTAATATTAATGGGATGTAATTTTCATGTATTGTCACGTTCAGATTTGCTTCGTTTCTTAAAACAAAAAAAAAAAAAGAAAAAAAAATTCTATTCTAATTGATTAATGTCCAAAAGCGATGTTCACAAACGGTCAATTGTAGCACAGAAGAGCGGTCGTATCCACAGATAGATAACAAAATAAGCAAGAAAGATTAGCAAAATAAGAGCGTTAGAGAAAAATAAATAACAACTAAATTAAAGAAAAAGAAGAGTTTTTGAGATTTTTGTTGCAAATAAAATAAAAAAGAGAAAATTTGTATGAAGGAAATTTAGTAGTAAAAACGGTACGGTGTCGAGAATCCCTTATGTTTCGTTTACCAATTCAAGTTTTGATTCACAAAATAAAAGAATCGAACAAATTAAATCTCTATGTTGACTCCGAAAATATTATTATTACAAGTTATCTAAAATCGACAATATATCAATTTGACAATATTACAGTAAAAGACAATTTGTAAAATAATTTGACTAACAAAACAATACGTGACAGAATTACATAAGAAAAGCATGACTGAACTTATATAAAAAGTGGCACACAATATTTTGAAAAAATAAATGAAAGATAGATGAGATTTAATTCATTCAGATATTGAACATTACAGCACAAGGAATCAAAAGCTTGAATTAGGTCACTCAACAAAAGTTCATCTCTAACCTCACTAAGAGAACTCTAGCCTAGCTTGCAAAACATTCTCATAAGTTCTAGAGAGAAAATATGAGATTGACAGCAAGACAACAGAAAACTGAATATGTTGTAGTGTTCAGAGATTGCCTGTTAAATAAGGAAACAAATAATAAAAATAGAAAATTACAAAAGAAAGGGAAACAAAATAAAATTACACATAAATTAGGAGAAATCATATATATGATTTGGGAAAGAAATTTGGCCAATTTGCTCTGATTTTGAAGGAGAAATTCGGACTTAGCACTCAGTGGAAACGTGTCGCAACGTGATTGGTAGTGACGAGAAAACGCGCCACGTGTCGCACGCGGATTGGTTGGAGAGTGCTGGCGCGGGCAGAGTGGAGGACAGCTGGGGCACAAATGTCACGCGCGGAGGAGAGAAGCAGTTTGGCATCACAGGTGTGAGACCTGCGGAAGCCAGCTATCACTCACGGAGAAGACGCGCAGGCTGCAAGTTGACATACGGGACCCATGCGGCGGAAAGCTGGGACGCATGGTGATGGCTGCGTGGAAGGAACGCGTGCGCTGAGGAACTCCCGTGCAAGTGGCGCGTGCTGGAAGTGCTGCGGATAGGCTATCACAAACTGGGTCCCACGCGTGGCTTGGCTGGGTGGCTCAAACGGCTGACGCGGCTCTTCTCTCTTTTTGGCTTGTGAGGCTCGACTGAAAGGCTTGGCTTAGGGTGGTTAAAAGTATGGCTTTCATGACTTATTTTTGTGTAGCTTTTTACACTGCTTTTTATCTGCAAATAATTAAGTAATAACTAGACATATTCCAATGAAAAATGTTTTGAATAAAAATAATGAAATTATTTAATTAAAGTTTAAATATTTTAATATTATATAAATCAATAACAGTATTTAGGGTGCATTTTCATGCACTAATCACTAATGTACTCAGGAATTAAAGAAAAATTATAGTAACATCCACAGCTCTTAATAAAAAGAAATATTTCAAATGTAACTTACACATATTACCCTTTCGTGCGAGTGTTTGCGCCTGAATGTTATAATCCAATTGATTTAGGTATGATTTTATCATTGCGATGCCAATGAAAATAAACAAATATTTTAAAATATTTGGAAATAATCTGTTACTTTTTGTTCTGTATTATGTATTTAGATAATTTCAGTAGATCCAACGGAATCGTCAAATAAAACATTTTTATTTTTGCAGCTCTTCTATTATTTCTTATTACCCAAATATAAGTCAATAGACATCCAACAAAGTTTACTACAATTTCACAAACAAAATTACACCATATAGATTGTTCGATAAATATTATTCACAATTTCACATGATACTAGATTATACAACATCTTGTCTCAAAATCAAGCACTTTAAAGTTAAAAGTTATATAATTGGTCCCTTAAATTCATAACAAGTCTGCCTGTATAAGGAATGAAATACATGAATAAAAATCTCATTTTTGAATTTATGCAACGAATATTAGAGTACTGTGGATTTTTACCACATAAATAAACTAGTCAAAGATCAAGAAAGTGGAAAATAAAATTTGAACAACAAAAACGTTATAGCATAAATCGAAAGAAATATAAAAATTATAGCATGCAATCTAATTTGGGCAAATCATGAAATGGTTGTTTATTGACAACCTTTTTAATAAATGGCTGAGCTTTTTAATTTTAAATAAATGGCCGAACTTTTTTATTTTAGCAAAATGGTCATTTTTTTCAGTAATCAATTAATAATTGATCGATTTATTATTATAATTTACCAATGATTTATTATTAATAAACATGTAATTTATTGATTGAAATTGATTAATTACTAATTAATTTTAGTTAATTATTAGCTGATATTGATTAATAATGAAAAATCATTGAGTTAATAAGTTGATAAACTTAAGTCAATTAATGATTGATGCGCGCTAAGTCAATAAATGATAAACTAGTCAATTGATGATTAATTATTAAGTTTATCAGTGATTGACCACTAAATTAATAAAAGAAATTTTAAAAAACTTCGGCGAAAAATTTAAAAAGGGTCATTTGCCTCCATATCATATATAAGTTTCTCATAGGGCTAATTATACATATGCCCGAATTACAATGGTGAGATTGAAATGTGGCTTAAGATATTTCATACACTGCCTAATTGTGTAATAATTTTTTAAAAAGATATTATATAATTACTTTATTGACCTTATAATGATCTATCATTTTTTCACAAAATTAAAATGTTGCTCTGTTTTTTTCCCACATTTAGTGGGATATCTACCTTTTTTAAAAAAAAAGTCAAATCCCAAAACTATAGGAATTGAGATATCATTAAATCTTAACTAGTTTAAAATGTATTCTTGACAAGTATTTTGTAAGTTTTAAATTTTTTTAGATAATCTTATTTATGAAAATCTATGTCAACGTAAGCATCTAACGAACTGTTTTATAATAAATAAAAAAACACTTTGGATAATAAAAATGATTAGCATAAAGACAAGGCTTTCAATTTAATGACGACATAAAAAAAAACAATACAAGTTTATTAATTAAGGTGTTAGTGGGTCGTGCTCGTGTCAACCCGTTTATTAATCGTGTTAAAAAATATCAACCCAAATACGACATATTTATTAAATGTATCAAAAATGTCAACCCAAACTCGACATATTGAACACTGCTTAAATTAATATAACAATGACTTATTTAACACTATCAAGACAAGGTTAACATGTTTATTGATCAATTTATCTTTTCCTTTAAGAAAAATAAATGAATTTTACCTATAAATATTAAAATTCGCATTATTTGTATTTAATATGTCATAATAACTTTCATGTTATATCATATATAATTAGATTACAGATGACACATATAGTTAATCGTGGCAACTCATGTCACTTCGTGTTAAGAGGTCAACCATAATCCAACTAATTTATTAATCGTATTAATCGTGTCAACCTGTCACGCCCCCAAACCGGGGTTAGTGACGTGGAGGCTCGTTTAGAAACTTAAACCTATTTGAGAGAGAGTGATTAGCAAAATAATTTTATTTCTTTCAAATCCAAAACGTCCAGGTATTTCCAAACGAGCCCCTGCATTCAAGAGGAATTCAATTTCAAGAACGGTGGTGGAATTTCCAACCGAACCAGTTTAAAACCACGTCCCTGGTATCATGTCAGGAATTTCTACAGGTGTTTAGCATACATGAACATAAACAAGAGTAAATATGACATCAACCGCAGTCTAGTAATATTTAAGTTTACAATCCATAATCTCTTATACATGCCTTGAAATAAAAGATAAGAGGAAATACAACTCTTCGCTTTCCTGAAACAAGTCCACGTCACCGGTAGTAGCTACCTACTCCGCACTACTCTTTGCGTCACCTGGAGGGGTTTAATACATTTGAAAAGAAGAAAGGTGAGCGAAAGACCCAGTAGGATATAATTTTTATAAAGCATTTAAAATAATGGTACTCACGGTCTGAAGATATACACCCGGGACCGATCATCCCTTTTTTTTTGAAAAAAAAGGAAATACTCACATAATAGAATATGTCTGTATAATGAAAGTGTGCAGCTCATCATACCACTAAACAAGAAGCGGTAAAAATGTCTGTCTAATGAAAAGTGCAGAGCCATAATTCCACTAAACAAGAAGCGGATCCGTACGGGTTTCGGGACCTGCCCCCAAGGATGCGATTCCCACATCCCGATCTCTGTGGCCACCATGCATTGTATCATTCCTTAAAATATTTCATTTTAAGAATTTATACGCTTTGAAATCTCATTTCTAAAATCATTGGAAAACTTAATAGCATTCTCATGCTATTTCTTTAAAATCATTTTCTTTAAACATGTTTTATTCTAAAACATTTTCATTGGCCAAAATAATTTAAAATGAGGCTAACAAGGATATGGACAAGAATATCCTACCTGTTGGATATCAACCTGGTTTAGCTTTCCGTTCTCCTAGCCTCCGCTTTCCTTTGAGGCTCCAATTCCAATCGT